CTTTGTTATCACTATTTTAAGATTGAGAGTCTGTTCTTTAAACGTTTATATTTATAAATAATATTAAATCTCATAAGACATACATGTGAGAAACACAACCTATAGAAACAAATGCCTTAAATGGTCTAGTTGGATTTTAAGTGCTTGTTTAAATCTGTTTGAATCTATATTTTTTAATTTAATTTTTCTTTAATTATATACATGTGTATATATATATATATGTATATGTGAATCGAAATTAAATTTTTATTTAAAAAGTAACTTATGTTAAAACTCATTAAATACATCGATGTTTTCTTTCTGAACATGGATCTAAATCCGGAGCCAAATTCAGATTCGCGGATCCGAATAATTCGGATATCCACATTACCGAATAATACGGTTTTGAGTTCTCAGATCGGAATCGATTTCGGATATCCGAATACTTAGAAGCCCTACTAGATAGTCTCTAGATATTCTCAGTAGCACGCCTAAGACTAAGTTCACAACCTTTGCTTTAAGAGGCCGTAAGCCATAAGCTCTAAGTTGTAATGCTCGCGGTCCACAACCTTGCTTTAAGAGGCCGTAAGCAGTAAGTCTTAAGAAATTGACTAATCACAATTAAATATGAAAAAAATAATCGACTATAATTGGTCGATTTCTTAAAACTTACGGCTCAAGGTTGTGGACCGCAAGCATAAGTGACGATATATCGGCCACAGAGCTTATGTTTTTAAGCCGTAGGAATTGGGTTTTGCTCAAATCGCTTAAGTTTAACGGTTAAAGCCTAAAGACTGCGCAAAAACAGAATTTAAAGACAGAAATTATTGTCACTTAATCTCTTTCGACTTTTAAGGCCTCTTAAAGTAAGATTGCGGACCGAACATAAAGAAGCATGTGCTATCAAAGAAAACATTTTAAACCTCAAAATGACACAGTAAAACAGTAATCGTACACCAAATCTATTTTTTACACGAACGATCTCTGGCTGCGCAAGTTGTCGCTTTTGTTCGTTTTCGCACTAAAAGCATCCGGCTGTTATTTTATTGCTGCGCTTTATCACATTGTAATGATTTTGAATATGTATATCGATTGGTTGTCGGATAATATTTTAGGGGATTCTATCCGATAGATAAACAAAAAACGAAGATATAATAATGCTTTAAACGTGTAAACAAACAAAACACATGCAATCTTTAGATCTGTTTTCTGCAGTTGAATTAGTATGTACTTTTAGAATTTTTGATATCTGATGAAAACGTGAAAAAAAGTTTTAGTGCAGTTTATTACAGGGAATTAAAAACAGGTCTGCAGATTAATGTTTTGATCTGCTTTGTAATAATTTACTTTAAAAAAGTGTAAACCAAAACACAATTAAAATTAAATAAACTTTGTTAAACAGAAGAACTTTTTCGCTTTCAACGTAAGAGAAAAAATATAATTATAGGATTATATATATATAT